AGTGCTGACGCGATGCCCCGTCTGAGATGCTGGAGGATGGAAGAGCTCATCCAGCCGGGAACGCCTCTGCTCTGCACATTTCAGATGAAGGAGTTACTCGCTTGGGTATTAAGTTTGACTACAGAAAGAAGAAAGCTACTTAACACTTTGAGTTGAGATTAAGTAACTGAGTGTGACAAAGAGCCGGGCGAGGTTCGGGATGAGGAGTGTCACATCCTGGGGATTTGAAAGCTCTTGATTCACAAAACCCGCGAACAGCAGATCCCTTCATGGGCAAGTGATGCAACCTTCCTGCCTGGGAGGCTTCAGTGGGTGCAACCCCATCGTCAGCCCCTACAGGCTCACCTCCAACCCCAGCAGCGGGTCCTGGCACGGGGGGATTCGGGCTGAGCCCACGCCCGGAGCCGAGCCATCCCCAGCCAACGGCGGGGTGAGCACAAGGCATGGGCCGAAAGATAAAGCAGCTATCGCCACCGGGAAGGAAAAGGAAGGAAACGAGATGGAAGCACAAGAAAACGTTTCTACGTTTGTCTGACCAAGGAGCCACGAGTTCCTGCTGTTAGAGAGAAGGTGCTGTGTCCGCGTGTCAGGTATATCGAGGATGTGCTGCACGCCGCTGGTGGCAGCTTCCCCTGCGCCTCTGTCCCATTGCACCCACAACCTAAACTGGCAGAGGCAAAGCTGGTTCCCATCCTTACGGCTCTCCAGACCGATCCACACCTTCCTAAAGGAAACAGCCTCGTTCATCCCACAAGAGATGCAGGGAGAGCTCGACTTCCCCGTCACACCGACTCTGCTCCACCAGCCCAACATCTACACCTTCCAGCCCAATGTTTTCCCACTTTCTCCCTCAGCTACACGAAAAAACCCGAGGAATCTGACTGCCGGGTGCCCCAGACACCCCCGGCTGATGGGAGGATTGTTGCTGAATGACTCATCTGCAGCAAAGAGCCAGTTTGGGTTTGGTGCCGCTGGCGCGCTCCCAGCCTCGCAGCACGGTGGGTCTCGGCGGGCGGGACCCCGCGAGGACG